CAGCTGCTCATCAGGCACCTGGGGTATTTATGCAGGGCGAGGCCCAGCATTCCCTGTCTTGTCAGTGCTGGGGAGCAGAGGTGGCAGGTAAGGCAGGGCTGGTGGGGAGGGGTTTGTGGCTTGGCTAGGGGCTCACTGAGGTTGCTGCTTGCCTCAGGTGGCTCTTTGCAGCCTCCCCAGGGATGGGGGGTGTGTGGATGCTGGGCTTGGAGCTGGCTCCATCCCTGGAGCTCTTGGCCCTGGGGAGTGCTAAGGGTAAAACATACCTGCTGAGGGGCTGTGTTCCCCCAGCTGTGCCTGTGGGGCTTTTCCAGCTCCCTGGGAAGACACAGTGCTGTGTGCTGTGTCTCTGCTGCATCTGTGGGTGGGGGGTGTCTTGGCTTTTTGAGGCCAAAGGTGACATCTTATCATGTCATGCTGCATCTGCTGTGCCTTGGGGAGAGCTGAAAGGCTTCAAGTCCTTCCCTAAGGGCTTCTTCCCAGCCATGAGATGACTTCTTGGTAACACTATGGGTTTCTGATCTGTGGTTGAGCAGCTTTGGGTCTGAAAGCTCTCTTCTGCTTATTGCCTGGTGAAGACCAAAGCTGTGTGAGGGGGTCCACAGGAGGTGGCTCTCCCACCCAGACACGCAGGGACAGCACATGATGTGCACCCTGGACATCACTGCTAACTCGTGTTGATGTTGGGGGAAGCAGTACGTGCCTCAGGAGGCAGACGGATCAGTTGGGTATTCCCTTCCTGTTGACAGTGCTACCAAATCTGCCTGGAGCTATTTCACATGATCATTTGGTGTAGGCATGATGATAGTGAAGGGGGTGGCTTAAGTGACAAGGTAACTGCTCTCTTGCTCAAGAGCACTGTCCCTCTGCAGATGGAGGTTGCAGCCATGCACAGCTCTGCCAGCTTGCTGGAGGGAGCACTTGGAAGACTAGCTTAGCATTTTTCAAGACTAACAGGGCTCTTTAATGAGGTTGTGACTACCTGAAACTGTGTATGGCTGTGAAGGACTTCAATTACTGAAGCTGGTTCTGCTGAAACTTCCAGATGAAAATATGTGGTAAAGAGCAAGCAGCACACTGCTTGCTCTGCAAGTTATAGCTTCCGTCTGAAACTCAGAGTTTTGTCCTCATGGAAAAATTTGTACATGGAAAGTACTGGAAAGCCCAGAAGCTGTTTTAATTAAAGTTGCTCCTAAAATATCTCCACGTTCTAGTAGCTTGGGTAGCTTATACACTCACTGTCCCAAGGAGTTACTGACCTAGTAATGGCCACTGGCTGTGGTGCTTACCTCCCATTGGAAGTGTGTGTGGGGAAACTCTACTTCCATCTGCAAAAGTGGCTTTAATCTTTGAGGTTCCCTAATGCTGATGCCTTTGCCTGAAAGGTTAGATGGGGACCTCTGCCAGCAATTCTGAAACTTATGTCCCAAGGCCAAACATGAAAATAACCTGATTCTTCTCCTAAAACTAACTCTGCCCTTGGAGTGTTTGCAAATTACACTCTCGGTTATGGGCAGTGGCATTCCCTGCTGCAGCAGACATCCTGTGACCCAGTTCTAACAACTGCGTTTATGGTAACTGGGGTATCAGTGGCAAATTTTGAAAAGAATGTAAGTGCTTTAACCACAAATTCATACCTTTGCCCTGATTAGCCTTCTCTGCTCATATCTAAAGCACTAAATTTAGCTTTGTTTTCCTAAATGGTTGCTAAGGAATTGCCAATTAGGCTATTGAACCAAGCATGCCAGCTATGGCTGTCTTCCCAAGGTAAAACTTGCTTGGAGGGGAGAAAAACTTCCTGAACAACAAGACTCCATCGCTCTGTCTGCAGGACAACATAACAGCAGGCTAGCTTCATGGGGCAGAGCTTTTTCCACAAGAAAAATAACCTTACACAAGTTAAAGAACTACTTTAATGTCTGCTGGTCACTGAGAGTGATGACAATCAAGGGAGGTGCTTACCCCAGCAGGAAAGTACTTGCTCTTCTGCCAGGCTAGCATGTTGTACTGGCTGTGACGGCCCAGCCCAGGCAGGGGAAACAGATGGCAGCCTGGCAGTTGTGGTGCCATTGCCCTTACTGTTTCATGAAGTTCAGACTTTGGCAAAATCATGAGCAGTTAAGCTGTTGTGCCATGCTAGAAATGTGCACTGGAGAGTTTCATCTTTCTGAAACAACCTGTTGCAAGAACTTTCTCCAGCAGTGACCTGATATTTCTGATGTAGCAATGGTATGAAATTGTCTGATCATAATTTTTGTACAAAGCAAACAGTGATGCTGTTTCTGCTCTTCTGCCTGGTGGTTCCCCCGTGTGGAGTCTGCCTGCAGGGACTCCCATGTGCAACTACCCTGGCTTGAAGCTGCGCCTTTCTCCAAAGGATTCTGAAACAACTGACCCAGAGTTGTTAAGCACTGTGCTTTCCTGCAATCTGTGAAGTAAAACAAGGTCTGCTCAGCACTTTCATGGAAAAGAGAAAATAAAACCATGCTGTGGGCTCATGAAGATTTGTTCACACCACAAATGCTGGCATTGCAACACACCCCAATTCCTCCTACACAGAGGAGAGCAAACCATGTTCTAACATGATTGTGCTGCAAGGATTGTCACTGACACATTTGCATCCATAATTAAGATGGGCTCCTAGTACTTCAGAGGTCAATTCTAACCTTATACTAGTTTTTATATCAGCCAAGGAGTTAATCCTGACTTACGCTAGTAACTAGAGTCGTCTTTTTTTTTTTGCTGCAATGTGTCTGTGTGCTAACCCTGACACCAATGCCAGTAAGACACTCTGCAGTTTGAGGTTTTTTCCCACCTGTCTAGAAGTAAAATAACTGAGCAAAGGGGTTGTTTGTAATGGTGTCGAAATAGCTGTGCTTTGCCCTGTGACAGGGCTGCAGACTGATTAAGCCTATTTGGCTTCCAAAAAAATGCAACAAACCTGTCCTAATGCAGTTGCAAGAGGAATAACCACTAACTGAGCAAACCCTGTGGACTTTGGGACTCAGACTTTATGTTCAAACCCTGCTGTGTTTTTGGAGCTGTTTTCTAGAAGTTCTCCCAGGCTGACAAGGGTCAAGCTGTATTTTTGCTGTGCTGTTAAATTAGGCAGCCCCCTGGGCAGGGTGGTTACCAGGAACGTGCAGAAGAGCACTGGCTCCATCTGGGCCTCTCGCTTGAGAGGCTGGAGATTGCAACTTCTGTGACAACTTTTGCATTCTGCATCCCTGCCTTGCTTGAATCTCACTAAAATGCTGACTAATTTCACAGTTAATGCAGCAATATTTGACATCCTGCCAAGTTAACCTCCCGGGATGTCTTCCCTAGCTCTAACCATAGTCCAACAAATGGTTGTTTCACTGCTGCTTCCCCAGCTCTCTGTTCCTGTTTCCGCAGCAAAATAAAAACCTTACACAAGTCAGAGAACATAAGAAACAAGACAATGGTCTCTGTCACAAATCAGATGGCAAGTTTTTTTGGGTAGAGTCTGCAGCACTGCCTGGCTTGGGAATACAGTTTGAGTTTTGGCTTGGGGGGTTTTCCATTGGAAAATGTCATAGGAATTCTAAGACTAGGAATTAACTGGTAAGGGAGAGAACTGGATGCTGCACTGAAGCATGAATATGCTGAAGTCCCTGCTGTGCCTAAGACTGAGAAGTAATACCAGATTTATCGCATGATACTGGAGTGTCCAGATACCAACCTAGGTCTATGCTGGGGAAGACAATATAGATTCAAGATATTGCTTAACTTTTATACTTGAACTTCTTTAATCCCGTTATGTAATGAGAAAACTTCTGATACTTGGTTTCACAGGAAGTGAGGAGACATTTCCTGCCTAGTTGACCAGTAGGATGGGAATGCAAGTTTCAAGGTAGCTGGCCAGCATGCTGCATCTGCAAAACCTGGCTCACTCTTCCAGGATAACTTTGAAGGATTTTCATATCCTTCCCAGAGCTGTGAGATGGCTGGTGTGGCTGGAGTTTGTGGCGGTGAGGAAGTTGATAGAAGTTCCCCACTATGAACACAGGCATAGTGGGATGACTCTAAAATGACTCTCATCTCAATGTCCTCTGCAAACGCTGTTTCAGAGTGAGCCTTCAGAGGAAAGGGACTATGAACACTGAATGCTTTTTAAGAAGGTAAAAATATGCCTATTGTTGACTTGGGGTGTCTGGCCCTGACACCCTTCTGAAGGGGAGCCAAAGTCCTGACAGTCTCTTCCCCGCCCCAAGAAGAAAATAGATTAAGCTATTACAAAACCCATCTCTATGCCAAAGCAGGGGAAACCTGAGGGCTTTTCCTCCTTAAAGGGTATTAAACAAGTTCAGACAGGTTTTTTTCAAAATAAATGTTTCTGGTTTTAAACTCCATTATTAAACTGCTTGAGCTTTTCACATTTTGAAAATTAAGACTAAAAAGTTACTTATGCTACTGTCCTAACAAGCAGCTGCATTTCAGCAGAGCTTGTTAGTAGGACAGTAATTTTTTCATGATCAAGTGAGATAACATTCAGCGATTCCCACCATTAGCCCTGGTTCTGGAGGGCACATCTTTCCTTTGAGTGTTCTAGTCCTTGGCCAGCAAAGAGCTTGTGCAGTGGGAAGCTGACCCAGAAGTATCTCTAGCAGAGAAAACACATGACAGATAAGATAGTTCTCATCCGCTTCTAAACTGCAACTTTGAAGCTAGTCAAATGTTATCAGCAATAAAATAAGTAGGATGGTTGTTTAGTTTAAAGCATTTGGCTGTTTGGGGATTGAAGGAGGTGACTGAGTCTTTGTCCTACATAAATATGTGCAGATGATAAATCATGGAGCCTCTCAAATATCTTCACACCCTTGCAAGAAAGATTAGTGATGCCACGCTAATGTTCCTAGGACATGCTGAATGATGGATCCCAACTTTGCCCTCTGCTTTTCACCAGTTTTGCTAGACTTTAATTCACTGGAGGAAATGAAGTTGTACTCATTATGTTATGCTCTTGTTTTTCCTTTCAGCTGCAGTTGAATTCAGTATGGCATCAGAAAAGACCACAAAAAAAGATCTGCTAAAGGCTGAGGAACAGCAGCAAGCGGTAGGTGCCGGGGCAGCTAGGACTTGAATGTGCAACAGTTAAACCACCTGCTGATAGATATGCTGGTAAACTAACTTCTGTCAGCACCTCAAAACCAGGCTGGGAGTAGCAGATTAACATTATGAAGCTGTAGCTAAACTTAAATGCAGTTAATACAGAAGCTAACTTTTTTGCTCAAGAGAACTTCAGGGCTGGCTCAAGTAATGCAAATAATTCTGAATCATGGGCTGTTACAGGCCTGATTTCCACATCTGGGTTTGGTGCTGAAACCCAGTGTGACTCAGAATGATGAGTCCAGAGTTCAAACTTTTAATCCTGGCTTGTTGCTGACTTGCTAGTGGTCTTTGGGTGAGTATCTTCAACTCTGAGTTTAAGGAGGGTGAGGAGATGTCCTGGATGTCCCCTTAGGACCTTTCTGGATAGACACATGGCTTGTGTTTACTCACCAGCTTGAGGCTGGGCCTCTGATGTCACTTATTTCTCTTGGGTTTTAGAGCGCTGTCAGTCGGGTAACCAGCTTGCCCTTGTTCAACTCTGCATTCAACCTGGTCTCATCTGCCTACAACTATACCAAGGAGACGCATCCTTACCTCAGTGGTGTCTGCAATGTGGCTGAGACTGTGGCTGCAGTTGCAGTAGGTAGTGTGGTTGGTGGGGCTCAGCCCATCCTGAACCAACTGGAGCCACAAAGTAAGTTGAGGCTGGAGGGACCCTTTCTACACAGAGGGGAGTTCCATATGCCTGTTGAGTGATAGCACATTGTTCTAGTTAACTGTAGCATTGGGTGTTCTACTCTGCTTTTGCTAGTAACAGTTTCATGTCCATGTGGGTTCACTGAGCAGCTAAGTTTGGCCTCTGAGCTTAGTGACTTAAAGAAACCACAGACAAAACTCCCTGCTTTTTTTCTATCGCTCCAAGTTAGGAGCATCCCAACTGGTAGTAGCAGTGTTCATCTTGGATATAGCTCAGTCTCTCATCCCAACACTTTTCAACCTTTAAGCCACTTGCCTGACCCACTGGCAGCAAGTACTATGCTCCAATTGGAGCAATGTGCTGCCAACAGCTAGAAAGCTGGGAAGGCAAAATGGAGACTATTTAAACATGCCAAATTGTAGGGTTTGTTCACTTCTTAACAGGACACTGCACACATACACACACCCCACCCCAGAATAGTGATTATTTTTGCTTGCTTTCAGAAGCATGCCCTAAATTGACTGGTGTATGGTCAAAACCCCCTCTCCAAATTGAAGAATAAACTGGTACCTTTTGTCTCTTCTAGTTGCACTTGTAAATGAATATGCCTGTAAAGGACTGGATCAGCTGGAGGAGAACTTGCCTTTTCTTCAACAGCCAGCAGACAAGGTAAAGTAAAGGCTTTTACTGGAAAAGCCATGGCTTGATCTCTTGCTTGATGGAACTGTTATGGGTACAGAAGAATACGGGGAAAATAACATTCAGCAGCCCTGCTTTGTTGGGTCAGTCCTTGGTATGGGCTAGAGGAGGCACTGCTAGCTGATAAAAGCTGTAGATATGCCTTCAGCATGTGGAAATGAACATGCCCATGTAAATACAGGTGCACTGACCTCCCCAGCTCTCCCACAAGACTACAAGCACAATTTAGCCATTTGGAAAAGCTGCTTCAGGGAGGGAAAACCTATTTCAGGAAAAAATGTATCTTTCTCTGCCTCTCCCTGTTGTAGGTTATTTCAGACACCAAGCAGCTGGTTTCCACCAAAGTGGTATCTGCTATGGATGCTGCCTGTGAGGCAAAAGAAGCAATGGCTGATAAAGTGACCGAAGCTGTGGACCTAACTAAAAATGTTGTTGGGGACAGTGTCAAGCTGACTAGGTCAGTGGTCACCTCCACTGTTAACAGTGCTGTGGAGGCCGCTCAGGGTGCCAAGGACCTTGTGACGAACAAGGTGACCGAAGCAGTAGACCTCACTAAACATATGGTGGAGGACAGTGTTGAACTGACCAAGTCTGCAGTTGCTTCTACTATTGTCAATGCTGTGGAGGCTGCCCAAGGTGCCAAGGACCTCATGACAAACAAGGTGACTGAAGCAGTGGACCTCAGTAAACATATTGTGGAGGACACCGTTGGACTGACCAAGTCTGCAGTTGCTTCTACTATTGTCAATGCTGTGGAGGCTGCTCAGGGTGCCAAGGACCTCGTGACAAACAAGGTGACAGAGGCGGTGGATCTCACTAAGCACATTGTGGAGGACAGTGTTGGACTGACCAAGTCTGCAGTCGCTTCTACTATTACTGCTGCTGTAGGGGCTGCCCAGGGTGCAAAGGATCTTGTGACCAACACAGTGACCGAAGCAGTGGACCTAACCAAAGGAGCTGTTCAGGATGGTGTTGAGAAGACCAAATCAATGGTCACTTCTACAGTCAACACAGCTATGGATGCTGCATATGGCACCATAGCTAGCAAAATAAATACAGCCTTGGAGCAGAGCAGAGAGGCTATCCAGGGGGGTGTGGAGATGACTAATTCAGTGGTGACCAACAGCATAAGCAAAGCCAAGGCAGTGAGCCAAGCAGTGGCAGGTGGTGTGGAATCTGTCTTGGGTATATCAGAAGATCTGGTGGATCACTACCTCCCGATAACAGAGGAGGAACTAGGTGAGAAAATACTTCGCTGGCAGTTGTAAATGCAAATCCTGTCCCACATGACCAGAGCACACCTGACACTGCAGGATTCATCTTCTGAAGGAGACAGGTAGCTCTGAACTTGTCACCAAGCTGGCTGGCTGTCAACACTGACTTGCTACATGGTATGGGACAGAGTTCAAGCATTTGCTAGCTGGTCCTTGCCCATCAGCCTCAAGGCAAATAAACACGTGGGTGCATGCTTCAACCTATCTGTCAAGTCTGCTTATCTGAAGAGAACACATTGAGCAGGGACTAGCCTACCTTTAATATCTGAGCAACTACAAACCTCTACTGTTTACAGAGCAAGCTTCAGCCTTCATGTTTTCCAATGGGTGATCTTACCTCTCCCCTGCCTTCCAGCTGGGGGAGTGGAGCACAGCTGCATCTCTGTTCTTGTTTCCTCCAGGTAAACTGGCCACCACTGTCAAGGGATTTGGTATGGCTTCTGTGGAGGAGCAGAAACGGCAACGGAGTTACTTTGTGCGGCTGGGTTCCCTCTCTAACAAAGTCCGCCATCGAGCCTACCAGCACTCTCTGAATAAACTGCAGCGTGTTAAGCAAAGCACCCAGGATACTCTCTCACGACTACAGCTGGCAATAAAACTGGTACAAACAAGCTTTTTCCTCTTTTCCTCCTGTCTGTAGTCTTCCTGCCCTACTATCTGAATGGAAGTTCTTCCATCCTGCACCAGCTGCATGGCATCTTGGATCCCTCCCTGGGAGGGAAGCGCTTGTGCTTCTCTGACTGTGTGTGCTTGCAATACAGCTGTTCCTCTCATTTCTCCCATCAGATTGAATCTGTGAAACAGGAGGTTGGCCAGAAGCTCCTAGATGGGCAGGAGAAGCTCCATCAGCTGTGGGTGGACTGGAGCCTGACCCAACCCAAAGGAAACCAAGTTAAAACTGCCTCCCAAGCAGAGGTATCCCTAGAAGGGTGTATTTTATCAGGCCTCTTGTGGATGGTGTACATCTCCCCTGCTCTGGTAACTGAGCTATATCTCTTTCCCAGCAGGTAGAGTCACGGACTCTAGCTATGCTGCATATCATCACCCAGCAGCTACAACCTGTTTTTGAGAATCTGAAAGCCAGCATCCAAGGCCTGCCCAGCAACATCCAAGAAGCTGTGTATCAGGCCACTCGAAATATCCACAAGCTCCATAGTTCTTTTTCCAGTGCTATGTCTTTCCAGGACCTCTCCAGCACCACCCTGACCCAGAGCCAGGACTGTGTGACAGAAGCCCGAAGGTCCCTAGATGACCTGTTTGAGTATGTAACTCAGAACACCCCGCTGAACTGGCTTGTGGGTCCCTTCAGGGCAAGAGCTAAAGTGTCACGGGATAGCAGAAAGCAGAAGAAAGATAAGGTGACTGATATAAAATCACCCATGTTAGAAAAGGCTACATCCTCAAAGGAAGTGGCTGAGACACCTGAAGAACCAAAGGGAGCAAACAGGATCCCGGGGGAAGGGTGTGAAGTGCTAGAGAAGCTGGAAGAGAAGGCAGAGAAAGACACAGAGGTGGCACTGGCTGTAAAGGAGATAAAAACTAATGCACCAGAGGAAGATCTCTGAAAAATATCAGCCCTTCTGGCCAAGGCTCCCTGGCTAGAACAGCACTTTAACTGTGCATCCAACTGCCAAGAGTGCCTCCTGCTCTCTCGCTGTCCCAGGCTGAGTTTACAGTAAGATGTAGTTTTCAAGGAGACTTGATAACCAAGGTGGGGTGATTCCATGTCTCGATTTACTGTTTTAAATCGTGGTGCTGCACTGAAAGGGAAGATGGGGACCTGTACTTCAGCTTAAGTCAGCCCAGCTGTATATGTGAATGGCTAATTCTTGCTGAGACAAGTTGTGAGAAAGAAGTGGTCTCAACTTATTTTTAATGTTGAATTTCTTTTTAATTCATCCAAGCTGCAGAGATCTTAAGAGGATGATGCGCTTGACCTTTGATTCCATTTCCCTTCAAATTTAAAAAAGTGTTGCAGACAGGACTTCCTTTTTGCCTGCTGTGCTTCTGGTGAGCCTCAGCCCTGCAGCAGACCAGGAACAGTTGGGGGCAAAGGCTGCTTCTCAAAGAGACACTTTTCCTTATGGATCAGCCAAACACTTTTTATTTTATAGAGCAACGCTTTGCAAGGTGGGATTTTCTTTTAGGCATGCCAATTTGCAGTGGGATTTTCTTGCCTAGTTATATAAATGACTTCAGGGATCATCTCTTTGTCTGTGAGTAACTCCATGCATGAAGCTTCTTGCAGCCATCAAGAAGCTGGCAAATGAGGCAGCTCTTGCCAGGAGTTACTCTGCCATGGTAATAGGATATCCTGTTACTAAAATAACAGGGGAGAGAAGTGTGGGTTATTTCCCCAGCAAACAATGCTTTGTAATAATTCCTAATGTAACTTATTCTGGTATTTTCTGTCCTGGCATGGTCCCTGTGCTAAGGCTGGAATAATGGGAAGCAGACTTCAGAATAAAGCATGACCTGCATTCAAAGAAATACCCGTCTCCTGTGTGTATCTAAAGCTGCAGCATTGTGCTTCCCTTTAGCCTGAGTGGGTAAGAAGCTTGTATTTAACAAATCGCTCCTCTGGGCATCTCGCTGGAGGAAGAAAAATAAATTATTTTAGCAGGTCCCATGTTCTGCCGCAATCTTTGGTAGAAAAGTATCTTTGCTACCTTGTCCCTAAGACTTATGCCTGTACTCCTGGGGCTCAACTGCATCTGCTCTTGATGCTCTTGCTCTACTCTTGCCCAGATCTCCCTGAATCCTTATGTTTCAACGCTGACGCTTTACAGAGGTAATGCCAACAGCCTCTCGCTAGAGGGAAAGGTCGGTTCCTACCCTCGCTAGCTCGGCTTTAATCCCTTCAGGCTCTATGTGGAGCACCCGCTGTAGCTGGCACCAGTGTCGGGGCTAGCGCACTGCCGGGAGGGTCCCGGCCACATACCGGGGAGAGGGACCCATCCCACGGGGAGGGAAGGGGCAGCTCACCCGGGCT